GGGCCCCGGGACCCCCTCCGGGACAGAGCGCCGAGACCCCCGCGCAGGGTGACGTGGAGGAGGAGGAGGGGGACCCCTCGAAGCTCCACGTGGACGGGGAGCCCAAGACCGGCATTCGGCGCCGGAGAAAGGGTGTCGGGAGGCCCTGGGTCCCTGAGGCCCGGGCCAGTGTCCTGAGAGGGATTCAGGGCCCTTGGCCAGGCCCTCCAGCCCCAGTGGCCCCTGCAGACGGCATGAGAGGAGCCCCTTCAGGCAGGGCCGCCAAGACGCTGGAGAGCAGGCCCCTGGGGGAGCCCCGTGGAGGCTACTGCCTCTCCGAGGACAGTGACATCCACATCACCAGCGAGGAGGAGGACCGAAAGGAGCCGCCTCTCCCGAGCCCCTGTGGCCCCAAAGAGAAGGAAACCGGTGGCCGCGTCCCCCGGGTTCCTCAGGAGAGCTGCCCGGCGCCACCAGGGGGCCTTTGCTGCTACATCTGCGGGTCGGCACTGTCCCCGGCCTCGCAGCACCAGATCCACGTGCAGAAGCAGGAGAAGCTGGCTCAGGCCCCCTTCTTTCCCTTCCTGTGGCTGCACAGTCCACCTCCCGGGGCTCAGCCCATCAGCGAGGGCGGCAGCACCCTGGTGTGTCCCTGCTGCTTCTCCTCCCTCATGCAGCAGTGGCAGAGCTTCGAGCTGGCCAGCGTGCCTGTCCTGCAGAGACTGTACGTGGTGCCTCTGAACAGCCACGCCCCCGGCATGGCCTCCAAGGGCAGGAGGCTCCCGAGGGAGGAGGGCACCACCTCGGGGACCCTGCCAGAGGCCTGCTATCTCTGTGGAGAGGACTGCACCCCTGACGCCCGGGCTGTGGCCTCCAGGATCCTCAATGGCAATGCCAGGAGCACCATGCATTTCCCCTTCCTCAGCGTCCTGCCCTGCCCCCCCAATGCCCGAGGCCCCAACAAGCGAGGTGAGGTTCGTAGCTGCCCCAAGTGCTTCAGCGTCCTGGAGGACATCTGGGCCCTGTACCGGGCCTGTCAGAACGAGGAGCTCATCACCTCTGTGCAGGGCTTCCTGGGCAGGTACCACCAGGCCTTCCCTGCCTCTGACCCTGCGCTCTCCGAGCTGCCCACATCGACCCAGGGCAGCGCCGTGTCCGTCTGCTACATCTGCGGGACTGAGCTGGGCCCCGGGAAGGAGTTCCAGCTCAACGTGAACCCCTCCAGTCGCTTGGGCGAGAAGGAACCCTTCTTCCCCTTCCTCACTGTGTACCCACCTGCTCCACGTGCCAGGCCTGCCGACTCCACAGGCCTGGTGGCCACCTGCGTGCTCTGCTACCACGACTTGCTAGGCCAGTGGCTGCAGCATGAGGCACGCAATGCCCACCATGCTGTCAGTGCCTGGTCCCGGCAGTACCAGGTGGACACGTTTGTGTGCTTCTTCTGCCAGCAGGAGAGGAAGCGGTGTCTTGGGTTGAAGGCTGTGCGGGTGGCCCGGCTGCCCTTGTTTCTCTATACCCTGCGAGCGAGCCACAGTCTGCTGGTGGACGACGGGCGGCAGCTGATCATCGGCGCCTGTGTGGAGTGTGGGACGCTGGTGTGTGCTGGCCAAGGGCTTACCCGCCAGGGACCTGTGGGCTGGAGCTCCCCAGTGGCAACGGCGATAAAGGTAAGCAGCGGTTCTCATCTCATCCTCTGAAATCCAGGCAGGGAAAGAAGAGATGTTTTCTGTTTCTCTGCCAGGAGTTAGCACTGATTCTGTGTGATGTGTTCCAGCAGGAGGTGCCCTGCCTGAGTCAGCAGGCTGGTGCTGGGTGGATGTACCGGCTTGGCTGGGCTCAGAGGCATGCCAGGCTCAGAGGAGTTGGGGGCCAGGAGTGGTCTTGTGGAAGAATAGGGCACAGCTGAAAACAGCAAGCATGGGCCTGAACTTGAGTGTGTTTGCAGCAGAATCTACCAAACAGAGGAAGTTCGGGGCATGTCTGTCATCCGCCTGATAACATTGGTAATTAGTCCAGCCACGCAGGTCACCGAGAGGTCTCTGTACTTACCCGGTTTCAAACACATCAGAGGTGGAAGTTCCTCTTCACTCTAGCTCCCTGGTGGCTTAGCTTTTCCAGAGTTTTCCATCCAAGTTCACACTTTTCCTTTGTGACTCTGGCTGCTTAATAGCAGATAGAAAGATTTCCAGATGTGGGGGGTTTGGTACCCAGGAGGACAGTGGCCTAAACAGACTTTTCCCCCTGTGGGAAGTGAGTCTTTCTTCTCTGCAAGTCAGCTGTGCCGGAGGAGGCAGGAGGCCTGGCGCTGGCCCTGTTTATAAGGCGCCTGCCTTCACGCTGCCTGCCCAGGAGGAGCCAGACAGGGCTCAGTTCATTTCGGATCTGGCTTTGCAAAGGCTGAAGCAGGCGCTACCCCTGGTGGGTCTGAAGTGGGCATCTGTGAGCTGTGATCACCATTATGGCCACCCAGGGTCATGAATCCTGATTTCTACCAAAGACAGACCGACTTGTTTCAATCAGACGCCTGTAAGCGGTAGCCGCTGGTGAGGGGCCGGCAGAAGGATGTGGGAATGGGGAACTCTCTCTCTGGTCTGTTCAGGAATAGTCATTCCATTTGTTTGAAAGGTTCCTGTGTCCATGTGTGTGGCACCTTTAAAGTCACCGGGCCCATGGCCTGGCCGGCGTGGCTCAGTGATTGTGTGTCAACCTAGGAGCCAGGAGGTCATGGTTCAATTCCCAGTCAGGCCATATGCCTGGGTTGAGTGCTCGATCCCCAGTGTGGGGTGTGCAGGAGGCAGCCAATCAATGATTCTCTCTCATCATTGATATTTCTCTCTCTCTCTCCCTCTCCCTTCCTCTCTGAAATAAAATAAATAAATAAAGTGACATGGCCCAAATTTGCCCCCCCCCTCCCCGCCACTCCCTCCTCTACCCCCCATCATGGGTTTGGCCCCATTCCTCATGCTCTGTCCAGGGCTCCTTCTCCACTGATGTTGCTTTGGACTTCAGAGCTGCCTTTGGGGACTTTGGTGGTAGGTCCTCTCATTTGTGGTGGGTGGCAGATCTTTGTGGCGCCTACTGCTGGACATCTGGAGAATTGCACTTTCCACAAGGGCTGGCACTGGGAGAAGAGCCCAGCTTTGGAGCAGGACAGACCTGGGTTCCACTCTTTTCCTTTCTCTGAGAAACCAAGTGCCAATGAGTCCATTTATTATCCTCGCCGAGCTCGTTTCCTTGGCTGAGGAGTGGCAATCTCTATCACCCGCCTTGCAGGGTCACTGTGAGAACTGAATGAATGGGGGAATGTAAACACTCCCAGAAAGTCAAGTGCTTGGATCATAGTGGGACCATGTCCACCTGAGTGTTGGGGCAGTTTTTTCTAGGTTAATCTTCCACGAGGCTTCGGGTTTGCAGGCTGGGTGTGGATTTCAGGTATGACAGTGTGTCATGGGGTAATCAAAGTGCTGTCTATGGGGCCTCTCCAACAGCATGTTTTCTGCAGAACATCCAAACTGGGCTGAGTTTTCTCATGTTGATTTGCTCGCTCATCGGGATTGATGAGATGCGAACTGGGGGCCTCAACGGATAGGAGCTTGAGGAAACAAAAGAAGCTACAGTTCTTAGTCCAGCTGGGGAGGTGGGGGTTGAGGGTAGCCTGGTGTGGAAGAACACGCAAGCTGGTGTCTGTCCAGAAGGGGTCAGCGTGAGTTTGGGAAGGCTGGATGTCAGACTAACTTTTGCACCATTTCTTTTTCTAACTCCTCACCATGGCCCTATGAGGCCCGATGATTCCCATTTTACAGATGAGTAAGTTGAGACTCAGAAAAGTCCGATGACCTTGGTAACTATCCAAGTAGATGGCTGAGGGGGCTTTTGAGCCCAGGTCTTCTGATCCCTAAGTCCTATTCATTGGATGGAGTGAGGTAAAGCAGGAGGAAAGGGACAGAGGTAAGGAGGAGCCATGCAGCCTTGGAGGGGCAGGAGGACCTGTGGGTGTGGTGGAGGTGAGATGAAGGGGAAGTCAGGATGGAGTAACTAGAAGCCTTGAAAGCAGGAAAAGGAAGTTGGGTTTAGGGGAGCAATAAAAAGTTCTTACAAGAAGGCTTGGAACAGGCCAGGAACAGATCCCCACAGGGCCTGGCTGTGGCAGCAATGCAGGTGGATGGTGAGGCCAGCGCGCCTGTTTGTGGTGGAGGCAGCAGGGTGGGCCTCAGGCTGGATTAGACGATGGAAAGAGAAGCATAGACCCCACCTGTAAGAGCACCTGATTGACGGGAGATGCCGGAAATGCAGCCTCTGCCTTTCCTCCCGGCACCCCTGCCTCCCATTCATTCAGCCAGCATTTACGAGGTGCCTCCTCTGAGGCAGGTGCTGTTCTAGACACCGAGGACTTGGTGGCAAGTTCAGAGCCTTCAGTGTCAGGGGACAGAGAGTCAACAAAGACTATAGCCTCCTGCAGAGCTGGGAGCACAGCAGGAGGAGGAGGAGTCCGTGCCAGGCCCGGGTGGGGAGTGAGAGCGCATGCACGCTTGCGGGAGCTGGGAGCACTACAAAGGGACTGGTGTGCAGGAACTGTGGGCAAAGAAGCAGCTGAGCCACCCGGGAGGGGCAGAGGCCGCCACGCTCGTTTCCTATGCCAGCTCCCGACTCCTTGGTTCTCACGTTCATATTCTGTGACTCTCTTTAGCGTGTGGTTTGAGAATTTGGGGGGAGTGGCTGGGGCTTTGGAGGGTGGCCGCAGGGAAACCACTTAACTGGGACGGCATGTTCCAGAGCCTCATCCATACCGCCTTCTATAATGCCTCAGCTGTTTCCTGTTAGCATTTATTCCTTAGTGACAACTTTAAATAGTATGAAAGAAAATGTGAGAGAAGGAAGGAGGGAAGGAAAAGAGGGAAGGAAAGGAGGAAAGGAAGGAAGGAAGGAAGGAAGGAGGGAACGAAGGAAGGAAGGAAGGAAGGAGAGAAGGAAGGAAGGGAGGGAGGAAAGAAAGGAGAGTGTCACCAGTGCCCTTGGGGTGTGTTTGTGGCTTTTCTCTCCAGCTGGACCCCTTGCCCCGGAGCACCCTGCCCTGTAGTCACCACGTCTCTGAGCCGGCCGCTCGGATAGGGCTGTGTCAAGGCTGGGCTGGGGAGGCTGCAACCCACCCTTCCAGGGTCCTGGCATCCCTTCCCCGAGAAGGAACCCCTCACACACAAGGCTCTGCAGAGCCACCAAAAGACCCTGGGTTGGCCTTCTGACAGGCCTGGCTTTCGTTTTCATTCTGCTGGGAGCTGGCTGTGTGACCTTGGGTAAACGCATGCCCTCTCTGAGCCTCCGTTGCAGTGTAGATGATCATCCTCTGGAAGGTTTGTGATGTCAGAGCAGCTTACGTTCAGCAAGGATATGAGACGTGTCCATTCCTTTCTCCCTCCCCGAGGAACTGGATGCTCTGCTGGGTCTCTTATTGTCACCCTCCGGCTCTGACGTTGCAGCCCCTGGCCCCCACCTCTCTGCTGGGGGTGGAGAATGGTTGTCCCTCTCTTCAAAGCTAGTGGGCGCAGCTGACCAGGCTGCTGGAGATGGTACTGGGGACATCATGATGATGATGCCTGTATAGGATGTTTTCCGTGTTCCAGGCTGTGCCACCTGCTTCACCTGTGTTCACACTTACTAAATCCTCATCACAACCCTGTGTGGGGAGGGGCCACTGTGCTCATTTCATAGAGGAAACAGCAAGCCCAGAGAGATCAAGTAATTTGCCCAAGGTCACTCAGCCAGTAACAACAGGACCAGCATTGGGCCCAGGAGTCCAGTTCTGTAGTCTGTGCCCCAACCTCTACTCTGTCCTGCCGTTCTGTCCTCTCTGGGGCTCCAGCTGTGAAGGTGGCAGTGCCCTCCGGGGGGCAGGTCATCATTTTCTCTGCATGTGCCTCCTCCACCCAGTGCAGCTGAGAGGCAGGAGGTGTCTGTATGGACTAGAGGCCCCAAGAAGCCCCCGCTAGCCGGCTCTCTGTCCCCCGCTCCTCTGGCCTGCTGACAACTTGTGCCCTGTGTCTGTGCTCTCCCCAGCATTGCTCAGGTGTTCAGCTTTCAGTCGGGACTCCTCCTGCTGCTGGGAGAGGCCTGCTCCGTCCAAGATGGGTCAGCTGCATGATCGATTGGCTTTCCTTGCAAGCCAGTTGGCGGGCAGGCCGCCCTTCCCTCTTCCAGCTCCGTCTGGAGAGCGTTCTGGGTAATGGAGCGTGCAGCTGTTTACCTAACCGCACCCTGGCCCCTCACCGTGGGGACGCCTCGCCGAGCCCCCAAGTGCGGCCTCCCAGCCCAGAACAGGTGTTGCTGCCGCGGTGCCTTTCTTTTCTCAGCGCTGACATCTGAGGCCTGCAGAGCGCGTCTGTCATCACTCGCCTGTCAGGCCCGGCACGCACATCTGTTTCCCGTGTTTCCTGGCGATCTGCGCCCACACGGCTCCTGCTCTTCAGGGAGGGCCTGGCCGCTCCTGCTGCCCCGTCCAGGCCAGTGGGGCACCTCAGCATGGCGACGGATCAGACGGGGGAGCTTTGTGGGCTGCCCCGTGGGGCTGACTGGCACCCTGTCCCAGGCCGTCGCTGGGAAGTAACTGGGCTCTAGGCCTTTCTCAAGCGCCAACCACCTTCTCCAGGGGAAGTCTGTGCTTTGCTTGACAGTT